TATTTATTAACGTCTCGTGTCTACCCTTGAGGGCAACGCTACAATAGGTGGTAAACGATAACAGTCCGATAACATATTCGTCCGAATTTCGGTACACGTCGCATTACAAACTAAGTAACAAGTGATGCGGCTACGGCGCCTCCGCTGGATGGTATGCGTGACACGCTATTATTTGAGGAAACCCGAGAAAGTACGCCCGTCCGCTACTCGCGGTCGCGCCCGCGAATTCGCAGCCTCTCACAGAACGTGGGAGACTGTTGGATGTTATTGGGACACGATTTTAACGCAATCAATTACAGAATCACCCGAGATACAGGCTTTGCTCGCAATTTGCAGTCCCGTAATTGTCTGCTTTTAATCACCCGCTCACGACACGTTCTTACAATCTGACCTAGGCCTACGTTCACAACCAAATGATTCGTAGCGGATTTCGGTAATCGGCCGTAACTTTCGGCGGTACCCCACTTGACCCTTTCTCTACCGTTCTGTCCCCCGTGCCCCCGCCGCGAATCTCCCTTGGAGTATCTGCCGGTCTTCAGGTGCGCCGCATTTTCCGGAAATTACTTGGGCCCTGGGGGGTTTTCCGCCAATGTTTCCGGCTTCTCTGGCGTATGGTTGGAGTACAGTCTTTGGTCTCCTGGACGCACCTGTACTCCCCGATGATGGATTTCTCCTGTAGCCACCTTCGTTGGGAGTCCTGGGTAGAGGGAGGCGCCGGTTACTGCCAACATGGTCCAACTCCGTGGTTGCGGGTTTTCAGCGACTCCACAATCGACCAGCCGCCTCACGAAGTCGAGTCCTCCACTGTTGTTTAGCGGTGTGTTCCTCTCGTATGGCAGGAGAGACCTTTGTCCCTATAATCGGCCAATTTCCAATATCTCATGGCGGCTCTTGGTCAGGGTGGGGGAAATGGTTCCAGAGTCGGGTGTCACCGAACGCTCGCCACGGCCGTGTAATTATACGCAGATGCTCGGCGCGGAAAAAGACGCAGTTAGTCACTATTCAAATGTTCGCTATCTCTCGGGATTCCTCTTGGAGCGCTCGTGCAAAAAGCAGCGTAACAGTACTCATAGTTGTTGGAAAACATATTTTTAAAAAATTTGTTCTTTTCATTTTTTAATAAACATTTTCAATTTTATAGAACAAAATTATTGTCTCGTTTATTATTTCCTCTCCTTCCTTCTCCCTTCGTAGTACATGTGATATCAGCCTAGCACGCGACTGCAACGATGGCTAGTGCTGTAGAAGGAATGGTGGGGATAACCATATAGCATCTGGCGAACAAGGATAATATGTATCAATCTATGTGCTACTACCGTGTTTTGTCGTCGTGCCGCGTAAAATGCATACACACATCATGCAGATGAATAAAAAAACAGCGTGACAATGGTGATGTCTATGGTCCAACGTGAAAACGCGTGTGACTTAAAAAATTGGTAAAATATTGTACAATAATTGTTTCTCGTTAATAATAGTTTATATTTGTAGATCATCGACGAAGCCACAGAATTCGCGTATCCTGGACCGACGATATTCATTGACCAGTAACTATTTCAAGTACCTCGATATTGGCGTAAACGTTGGCGAAGATTGCCGCGTTGAGTTGGCTATAGGAAATAATCGAGGGAACGAAATACCCTATCCCATGTCAACGTGGAAAGAGTTTCTACGAACGAAAGCGAACATTCAATGATTGCTGCTGGCTACATCCTCGTTAAACGAAATCATAAAAATCGGTAATACCTTAACGTTACAAGTCGTTATGTTCAACGATATAAAAAACATAAAAATTACCGATTCTGTTACTTCTATATTCATTACTGAAAAGACTATGTACAGAATATACAAATTCGAGTAATGTATAGACCATATGTATTCTTGGTTGTCGGAAATCATTCCTATGATCAAATATAAGTTCGCGTAAAAAAAAGAAAATTCGTTAAAATTGTGAAAGAAGCCCGTACGAAGGATCATGTAAATGTGATAATGCCGTCTGATGAATATTTTGAGAACAGTTTGATTGATAGTAAACTATTGGCTCTGTGTTCAAACACAATCTTGTACTAAGCGCACTAATAAAAAACATAAACTGAACAATACCTACCTATTGTATTTCGTAACAAAACTTATTCTTATCCCTGATGTCACGTGACGTAGCCGCTGAAGTAACTAGAGATGATACGTGGCGGTGCACGATCTTCCTACACCGCGGCTCCTACGTCAACATCGTCGTCGCTTACGAAATTCGATCAAGGTCAGACTTGGATTAGGTCTGGCTTGTCTACGCGTGAAATAACGTAATAATTCGATAATGCCCAAAATTCGATCAAGGTCAGACTAGGGTTAGTGATTAGTGATTAGTGGCACTGTCCTCCCGGGAGAATGGGTTTCGGTACCCCTCCCAAGCCAGGAGCCTGGCTGTTGAACTGCCTGGCCTACGCAAAGACCTATAGTGGGGTCTAGGGATGGCGTTACCCGGGGTTTCTGTTTATCTCAGCTTTCCACCCGTCCCAACTTTTTTAAGCCCTAGCCACATGAAGGGATCGAGTGTACTCGCACTAGGATTCGGAGAGTCATTAGGACGGCCCATCCTTACCTAATTTGAGAGCTAGTGGAGTATGAACGTCGGGGAATCACATCCTTCGTCTCCTAAGGTGAGTAACGGATCACTCTTGTTTTCATCCACAAGCCGAGCCTGTATAAATAGGGGGTTCATCGTCGTACTACTTCGTTGAGATATACCCACTAAACCCTCACGGTGGCCGGGCTCGGCGCTATGCGGGGAGGCACCGGGATCTCTTGCGAACACAACCAGTACCTCCGCAGCGCCAGCTCCGCCAGTTTACGGCGGAGCGCCCTCTCTGTGGTGGGGGAAGCGGGAGCTTCCCGTAACCAGCGTTTACCTGCTTACGTCCCGAATAAGTCAGGGAAACCCCCTCCCCTGTTTTCCCAGTCTCAAACTACAACCCCCCGTCCGACAGGAATAGGCAGGAGCTGCAAAGCTTCTGGATAAATTTAGATGGGACCTCCATACTAGCCGGCCTCTCGGTTCGCACTGCCACTCCCGAGGATCGGTGTGATTTAAGTCGCGTTACAGCTTGGGTGTGAGTTTAAGATAGAGATAGACGAGATAGAGTAGGTCGCGCCCCCTAGTTTGTCCGTGATGTAAACCATCCACCATTCGGGTACGTACTTGGGTGAGGGAGGGGCCAATTGTGCGAGCTCGCCTCGAGTAGAGATGTGGTGAGAGTATGAGTGTGTGGAGTCCTAACATGCGAGCCCGCCTTACGAGGGCTTATGGCGGGACAGGGCCTTGATGTCTTGCGTCTGTGACTGATTTTATGTGTGTCGTTCAGAAGGGGGATGGAAACCGATCGTGCGAATCCGCCTCGAGTAGAAATGTGGTAGGACAGTGCCTCGACGTCGCGTTCCCGGGATAGGATTTGTGTATATATACATGTGAATAAAACATGCTTGTGAAGTGTCGGATCCATCTGGACATTCTTCTATCATCCCGAAATGGAAGAATCCCCTAGATCTGCCACCCCAGACTAGAGTTAAATCTGGCTTATATACGAGTGCAATAGCGTAATATTTCCGTTGGAGCCGGGTTAGGTCTGTGATAGGTACGCGTGCAATAGCGTTATAATTCGACCAAGGTCAGACCAGGGTTAGGTCTGGCTTATGTACACGTGCAATTGCGTAATATTTCCGTGGACGCTGGGTTTGGTCTGTGATAGGTACGAGTGCAATAGCATTATCAACGACTGTTCGGGACTGGGTGAGACGCTGCATGGTGTCATGCGCGACCATTCCGCAAGTCGGCGTTCCGGCGAGCACGAATCGCAGCTCGTGCCGCATTCGACCATTCGCGCCGGAGACTAAGTGTTTCGTCGTGGGTAATTGTAGTACCAACACCGGTGGGCCACCTCGTACAGTTACAACGCTGTCCTTCTTTAGCCACAGCCAGCTCTTTGTCTGGCAATGTGCTTTCTCTCATACTCAAAGGATCGTTGCTGTGCGGGGTGCCTACGTGACAGCAAACACCAGTTTTTATACTATTCACTGCCTAATTACCCGTGACGAGCCTTTGACTCCGTCTATTCGTGACGAACCTTCTGTACAAGAAACAGCGAATAAGCTAAAGGAGCACTCTATGGCGCTCCGGATTCAATAATTGCATTATATGTTTTCGGTGCTCCGAAGTAGTGTTATCTATTCGTTGTCGTTTTGTTATATTTATTTATTTGTGAACATTTGACGCGAACAATAAACTGTCAATTGTTCGACAAAATCAAGAAGGTACTCCTTCGCCACTTCTTTTCTTTCGAGACTAATCTGGAACAGCGACATTTCCGTTGGATCCATTAGCCAGAATCGGCTTAGTATAACTACTCCAAACCTATGTCCTTGAAAAAAGTTATTTCGAAATTCGAAAAGTCTTATATCAAAATGCCCAGAGGCGAAGCTGGTTATTGGGCAGTAGGAATTTTTCCATTCTTGCAAAGGAATTTATTTAGTTATTGTAAAGATCAATTACACTAAATAAAACTCCTGTAAAATCTGGCGTTACTTTAAAATGACGAATAATTACTTGAAAACGTCATTTTACTTATACTCTCGTTAACAAATTTCTGCGGTGTCATAAAATTTACGCGATGATTTTGATATGACTGTCTCATCAAGTGTTTATTCCCGATAACGTCTCTAGCTGCTGCTTCAGATACTGCTAGAGGTGTGATACCCATAAACGTTTGTTTTACATGGATCCGTACCATTTTCTTGTAAAATATTAATAAATATGTTAATTAATAATTACGAAATTAATTAAATTAATTAATAAATGCAACGTAACAGCATACTCAATTGCTGCTGTAACATCTAGCCCCAGTATCTCCTACCATAACAAAAAATTTATTTGAAACATGCGCTTTTTTGGGCTATACCATCAGACTGATTGTGAGAATCATTTCGTAAAATTGTCTTGATACCTGTTGCAGGTGAGGTAGGAAAGGAGATGTACATAGTGAACAGGGGAAGACTGCAGGTAGTGGCTGACAATGGGAAGACAGTCCTCGCTACACTTAAGGCGGGTTCCTACTTCGGGGAGATCAGCATTCTCAATATGGGGACTGCAGGTAAAGAGTGCGGTAAATATTCCAAGCGAACCAGGGGCCCGTGAGCTGTCCCCCTCGTATTTCACGATCACGATTTCACATTTCACGTTCTTACCACTCTGTGAGAGAGCAAGCCGTCGAGCCGGTATGAGCCGATCTAGGAACGTTTCTTTCTAGTAACTTTTTTTTACCCCGTACACTCTCTGTCGCCAACATTCCTGTTGTCGATTTCCACCTGCTATTCACGATCGACGATCACGCAACGAACTAAGAACACACGAAGTGTCGAGTTAACCTCTTGCGCTGGAAAGACGTGCCACACACCTCGAAATTATACGCATTTGTGACCTGGCTGCCAACGCAAGTGGTTAAATGTAAATAAACATTGTAAAGTTAAGATAGTAGCACCTAGTTTATTCTGTTCTTATCAATTTTCAGTTGTATGCGACGTTTCTTATAGAGGGTGTAACAAAAATTTTGGAAGACCCGGATAATGGGAGACTCGTGAGGTGAATTGAAACAAGTTTTTCCTTAGCAAATATGTTATCCGAGGTTTTGTTAACGAGATATTAACGAAAACCCCGGACCAATCAGAGCGCGAGTCTGCCGGCCAAGTTCTCGGGGTAACTATGGCTACCAATCGCAGCGCGTAGCTAACGTTACCGCGGGAAGTCGGCCGACAGACTCGCGCTCTGATTGATCGGGGTTTTTCGTTAATATCTCGTTAACAAAGCCTCCAATAACATTTTTGCTAAGGAAAAATTGTTTTAAATCACTGTATACATCCCAACACACGACTCAAAAATAGTCATTATCATTTTTGACTCATCTATACACACGATTTTTAATCGCGGAGGTCTACAATTATATTGAAAGGACTACACGCATGACCCTTATACAGACTGTTCTTTTATTCACTAGGACTCTTAGAACAGAAATGGAAAGAAATTGTTGAAAGATTGTAATTTGCTTTGAAGTAATGATAAACTTATTGTTATCTTCTTTGTTCTTTGAAAGCAGATGTAACATATAATGTATATAAGAGAAAATTTTGTTTTGCTTCAAAAAGTTGAAGTTGCACCAGACGACAAAAGAAATTTCCCGTTAATGGAGCATATCAGTTCGAAACGTCTAAAAATGTATCAGATTGTTAACATGAATTTGTATACTTAAACATGAAACAACTGCTCCGTCGTCAATGTTAAAACACTATGTAACAACTCAAACAAGTTATAGACTAGGTGATTCAATAACAATCACCACCCGAAATAACTCATTACTTATTGACTGTAGTGAAAAATATTTCGTATCGAGTATGTATTCGACGGGGCTCGTCGAACAGAGTGGCATTTTATATTTTTTATGTATCTTATTTACCGTGGTTACTAGATGATCTTGAATTGTTTAAATAGCACCGCGGATATAAATATGCTAAAAAACTTCTGGTACTGTTTTGCACATAATAAAAAGACAAATGCAATGACCTATAAAGTGACCATGAGGTGATTTTAACGCTCAAAATAGTAATTATTTTTTCTAACTTCTGTACCCGCGGAACGATTACAATCAGAAATACCAATAATGGTTAGTCTCTTGTGCCTATAAACAATTCATGCTGACTACTTACCTAGATGTCAAGTTTATTGGAAAGCGTAGCAAGCTGTCACTTTTGCAACTCGCTATACGAAAATGTGGTCCACGAACGCGAAAAGAGCTGATATCTGTAGTGCTGGTACAGTGACAGTTTAATATTAGGAACTGTCATGGTTTATTTCTTCATATTCTGAGAGTGAAGGTCAAGGTTACTTTGTTATAAGTCATTAAACACATCTTTTTAGGAAGTATAACACAATACTAGAAAAAATACACGATGTTATTTGAAAAACTCAGTCACCTTGATATCGCGGTAAATAGCAGATGTATAAAGTGTGAGAGGTTATTCTATAGAAAATCGATCAAAATTGGGACTTTTTCAACATAACTGTCACCACTTTTTTTCATTTTTTGTAGAAAATTAGATACCTATGAGAAATGCATCTAAGTAAATCTATAATGTCCTGCGGGATATTTTGACTGAATTACAATAGTTTGAAAATCATAAAAATGATTCAATTTCGCCTAGCAGAGGTATATTCAAAGTATCATACCTTTGGTTAGAATCGGTCAATTGGGATAATTATTTTTGCGTTAGTTAGGGAATAGTATATATTTTCAGAAAAAAATACAGTATCCCCCTTTCGAAGGAAAGCAATTTCAAGGATAATAAAAACGTCGTTTATCCTTAAATACTTCAAAACTCGCATGTTTGAATTTTTGTATCGTTACATATGTTAATTACTATAATTTAAGTACTAAACTATGAAATTTTCAAAGTGGAATCGCAATGGGTTTGGAAAATATAAATATTTTCATGGAGGCATATTTAATAATCGAACAAATTCTTACAGTACATTCTTTTTTAAAGGGAACTTATTCCAGGTCTGTGAAGTTAGCATCCTCAAATGCAAAATTTTATGAAAAACCAACAGTATTCCTTTGTCCACGATTTGTCCACATTTGTCTAACCAAAATTTTCGTTTGTCCACCCTTTAAAAGAAAGTTATAATCAAATAAAAAAATTTGTCCGTAGCACCCCATGAACATTTTTCCTTAATTCTCAAGTTGATTATGATTGTCCGCCATTTGTCCATGTTTGTCCACCCAAAATTTTCGTTTGTCCATCCAACAGACTCGAACTATTATCAAAAAAAACATAAATAATAAGATACGTCACTCTGAGTATTTCATATTACATTTTCTCTAAACTAAGCATTGGAATTGTTTGTTCACGATATGTCCTCGTTTGTCCATCCATAATTTTCGTTTGTCACCGTCAATATTAAATCTCATTTTTATGTGTTTTTGTTTGTTAATAATAATTCGATTCTGCTGGATGGACAAACGAACATTTTGGGTGGACAAACATGGACAAATCGCGGACAATCATATTCAACTTGAGAATTAAGGAAAAATGTTCGTGGGGTTGTTGGTTACAAATTTCTTTATTTGTTTATAACTTTTTTTTGAAGGGTGGACAAACGAAAATTTTGTTACTCATTTTGTTACTCGTTGTCGAAAACGAATACTGTTGGTTTTTCATGAAATGTTGCATTTGAGGGTGCTAACTTTACAGACCTACTTATTCCTCAATTTGAATTAAAACTCAGCCATTTATTTTCCCTTATAAATTTACTCGCATTCCCATACGATTAAAAATACCAAACTAATCTTTTTATATACTTTTTTATTTACATAATATAAATAAGGCAATCCTTAGTACTAAATATGATTTTTTTTCATAAATTAGACATGAATCAGTATTATTTGGATTTTTTCGACAGTGTGTATGAAGTTTCCAGTGGAAATAGAAAAACATTTACATTGAACCCACTACTATCTGGTGGTTAGAACGGAATACACCTGTTGGGTTTTTGGAATTTGTACAGACTCCTCACATCTGCCTTTAGAAAAAACCTCAGTTAGGTTATATTCTTCCTTTGTATACCGTATGCACTAACAAGTAGAGGTCCCCAGGTGTAACGCTGACTTTTTAATGAGGTTTAGCACAGTGATAGAACCATTTCTGAAACCAATGATATTTGTTTCAGCCGCATATGGCCATTAGTTTATGAGATATTTAATGTTCAGTACCTAGGGGCCTTCCACACTCACCGAGAATTTACTGTAACATGCTTTTCATATAGTGTACACGCAGATTAAGATTATCACCACTTATGGTTGGCTGATTTAAATCCATTTTTTAGCTACATCTCGTAGCAAAAGTATTAGTAATTGTCTCGGTGGTACTTTAAAACGATTAGCGTCTAAGGCCAGTACAACAGCCACATAATAATCAAATTACGACTCCTGTTCAACTTTAGCAATGGGCATAATCCACGTTCACAATGTTCTTTGCATACGGTTCAAAAGAACAATACAACCTAACAAAGGTTTTCTCAAAGACAGAATTAAGGAGTCAGTACAAATCCCAGAAACACAACAGGTGCATTGCGTTACACAAATAGATAACGTAACCAACGTAATTTTTTGTTTACTTCCACTGACAACTTCATACACGCTGTCAACAAACCCATATAATAATGATTCATGTCAAGACTCATGAACATACAGTTTATTATAATAAATTGAGAATAAATATATATTAGAATATTAAAGACGTTTATACTACTGAACGACGCGTACACGAATATATTTCTATCTAACACAAGCTCATGCTCATATAGCAGTCTATGGTCACAGTATAAGTACAGGGGGATCCTCTCCCTGTGCAAATCAAAGGCTGTGCCACTCTAAACCGCCGCGTCGACACGTATAAACTGTCGATTGATCCCCACTGTTGATGACGTCCCGAGGTCACACACACGCGCCGACAAAGCGGTTCTGTAGAGCAGCACGGCCTTTGATATTTGTAGCGAGAGAATCACCCTGTGCAACCAGTATGGTTACTCCGTGTCGGCTCCTTTGATGTTAGCGTCGAACACTCGTCATGTTGTCGATTGTATAGCGTGCTAATATTTAAATTGTGAAAAAGCAGCCAAGTATGAATCGATACTTTCATGTTATATGTATAGGTAACCACACTCATATTTTCGTAATGAAATATTACAAATGTTGCAAATAAGGTTGCCCTGTAAATTCGTAGCGTTTTTACTTTTTATTTTTTAATGTTGAGTTCCTTTTGTTAAAAAATCGTGAAATTAACTGACTGGTCATCGTTTCTTTACATCAGTTTTCGTCACCTGTCAGTCAATTTCATGATTTTTTACCAAGAGAAGCTCTAATATTAAAAAATATAAAATTAAAAGCGTTACGAATTTATCGGGCAACCTAATATAATATTGAATTAAAGCTAGGTGTCCATTTGAAGGTTCCTTACGATAGTTGCTCGCGAGAGTACTCTCAAATTATGTATCCATTGGAGAGTAACTTCGAGAAGTTTTACTCGCCAAGTGCCCACACATAATAAAAACAAC